AGCATCTGTACCTCCTTGGTCATCATCAGAATTGTCAGAATCACTGCTACCTACATCACCGATCCTGTCCTCCTCCTGCTCCTCCTCTTCCCGTTCGAACTCGTTCACATCGAAGTCATTGCTTATACAGCCTACTGCAGTTGAATGAAACTGCTCTTGTGTCAACTGACCGTCCAAATCCATGTTACCCTGAGTTGCTTCCCCTTCGACCCCAAATTCTTGTTCATTGCCTCCAACACCGTCAATGGACGGGCCGTCCTGAACACCCTGCATCCTGTACCCATTCTCCACCACCTCAGCCATAGGCACATTGGAACCTTGAAGCACCCTAGTGTAGCGGGAACAGTGAGCAGGGTCGCGCAAGGGCATGAGGACATAGTGTGGCCTAGTCTTCCCAGTATCAAACCTCCCCTTCAGTGTGAAATCACCGCCAAACTTTACATTCAAATAGACACAAAAGTCGTTGAAGCTAGGAGGTTCATCAAACCATTCCAATTCTTCTTCCATATCCTCAAATATACCATCTTCTCTCCTAACACTTCCTCCGTATAAAACTCTAACACAACAATCCGTCTAGAAAAACATTTCAAGAAACTTCATCAATTCGTCAAAATCGTCGTACATAATGTTCATAGTAATATTAATACATATTCTAAATATAACTATACTAACTAATCTAATATTAACATCTACACAAGGTTAACTACAACAACTAATGTATAACAGACTCACTAGGGGAGTACCTCGCGACAACAAGGCTGGCGTCCTCATGGGCATGCACGGCGCATGGCGACAGATGATGGCGGTGGTAGCCGTGAGTGTGTGCCGGGAGGTGGCGCTGGGCGGCTTGGCAGAGCGGCAGCGGCGGCGAGAGTGCGGGCAGCACGCTGGCGGGTGGCAAAGCGCGGCGAAAGCAAAGCGGTCGAAGCGACGGCAAGTGGCGAAGTGGATCGGGTCATGAGCCTTTATCCGGCTCTGCCGCGCCACGGATCAGGGCGCGTCATTACCGCGCCAAGATCAGTGGCGCAGTAGCCCCTGCCACGTTAGCAGTCAGCAGCCCGCGGTCTACGCCACGTCAACCTCCCGCCGCGCCACCATGCATGACGCGGCACAGGCTTTTCGCCGCGCCATGGCAATAGGCGCGACCAAAAGTGTTAGTTTTGAAAAAAAAACAGTGTTAGATTGAAAATTAGTTTACAAAAAGTGTTAAAAATAAAAAACATTCATCTGCAGCAGCTACTGCTCCAATAGGAGGACTGATGAACCGCAAGAGGTTGAAGACATGGAAGATGATAACTCTGATGAAGAATATGTGGTTGATGATATGGAAGTTGATGACTATGGTGAAATTGCACCTAATGTTGCTCATGAAAGTGATCAAGCTGCTGGTGCTGGTGACAAATTGCACCTATTATTGACTTAATGATGCTTGAGAGTTGTGAGAGTATTTGTGCTAGACTATTTATGCACTAGTATTGTAGTATTGTGGAATGTGCTCACTGAGCACTCCAGTTTATCTTATTTAGTGGACTATCTGTTGAACTACTTGTGTAATGGTTTTATTTGTGGCAGTTTGCTTATCGACTTGTTAATCTTTACCTGTCCCTCAACTAATTTCTATTTTTGGTGGTGCCATAATCCCTGTGAAATATCTAGCTACTAACATGAATTGGCTCTCCATTGCAGTATAATCCCTGTGAAATATCTAGCTACTAACATGAATTGGCTCTCCATTGCAGTGTGTTGTTGGATACTTGGATGCACACCGGGGACTGCGGGCTGCACAGGAGAAGACAACACCAAGGTATGGCATGCTTCTATACTACTTGTACAACTGTAGGATGGCCGTAAGGCGTCGCCTCGCCTTATGCCTTACTCGCTTAGGCGTAAGGCGGTAGTTGGTCGCCATGCCTCGCTTTACCGCCTTAATAACCATGATCCAAACACGCCCTCAGTATTGGGAAGTCATTATTCTGGTAAATGAAACAGTAGCAGAGTGAACGGGTTTGTAGCCTACTCGGTCAAAGGAGCCTTAGTAGCACCTAAGGTCCTGGGTTCGACTCCCCATTGGAGCGAATTTAAAAAAGCCTAGGTTAAAAAACACCCCTCGTCGGCTGTGTTCCTAAGTTATACATGTAACCACATCAGTTGCTTTCAGTGGTATGTGCATGGCCACAGTCATGTGTCTGGCTTTTAAAATCTAGTGGTATGTACTGCTATAGTGCTTGGAGATTGAGTGACTGACACCTAGGCCCCACTTGGCAAACAATGGGTAACGTCTGGTTCATCCTCATTATCTTACCCATGAACCAAACAAGAAACAGGGACGCGCAACCGTCCCCTCAACCGAACAGAGATATGGAACTTCCCGTCTCTCAAAACTAGAATGAACCCATCCTGTCTCTCTCTCTCTCCTAGTCCCCAAACCAAACACAACCTTAAGGTGGCCCAGAGTTCAGGTTTTCCTTAGGCACCTTTCGAAGAATAAACTTTTAACTAAATAAAGTGTCGGATACCGCAAGAAGGGGTACCCTAAGCAAGAACCAAAAATATTGCTTAAACCTTGCAAAAATCAAAGCCGAAAGATTACCGCAAGGTCTCAGCAAATTCTCCGATTCGCCCGAGGCCTTGCGCCGAAGCCTCATGCGAAAGGCCAAAAGTGCCCCGCCAAGGCCCTCTCGCCGAGGCCCCGCCCCGAAAGGTCTCGGACGGGATGCCAATTCTCCGATTCGCTCGAGACTGGGCTCGGCAAACAACCTCGTTACCTCCGTCCCGACCGAACTCCTCTGACAAAACGTCACGTCCGGATTAATGCGCCCAACTACTCCTCAAGAACGCCGGCCAGACGCTGGCATAAAGGTAAGGGCAGAGCGATTTAAGGGATAAAGCGACCGGGCGCAGTAGGGTTACACGCCGCCATCGTGCTCATCATCGTGCTCCCCATCGACACCAGACGCTTTGTGCTATTTAACCCCGCGCCAAGGACAAAGCGGCGTGGAAGGTCAAGTCCAGTCCATGTAGTCTCAAGAAGCAGACAGACGAGCCCACCGCCGCTTTCTCGCCTCGCCCGAGACCCCTTTAGCAGGTCTCGGACGATCGTTTCTTCTCCGCCTCGCCGAGGCCGAGCTCGTCCCAAGATCCTCGCCGCCTCCGCCTCAACTATCCCCCGCACGTTGTCCCATCCATTTAATGCGCTGAATGCACCCGCCACGTCGCCCACGATTGGGTGGTATGCAATGAAGCGAAGCGATGGGACAACGGTCAAATCTCCTTTTTACCATGCCCCGCACTTTTCCACCCTAAACCAGTCACTATAGCCCGGAATCAAGCAGCATAGGCCCAATCTTGCTCCCTCCAGGTCTCTGCAAAATCAGCCTCGGCGTGGTCACTACAAACACCGCCAGGGCCTAAGAATCAGCCCTACAAGTTAGCTACAACCCGCCGAGCCTCGACACTCCACTGTGTCAAGAGTCCACCAAAGCACTAAGATGTCTCCGGTGTGGAAGTCATAATTGACTAAGACATCGACAAGGACCCCACGACCTCAACCACTTCAAACTCGACCAAAGACGGCGCGCATGCATAAGTACCGATCTCCATTCCCAACGCCATGTTGCACAGGACAAAACGCAGAGAGGGCCCCACGTGTAGCTTACTCATGTACTCCTGGCTCCTTCCTTGCGGTTATAAAAGGAAGCGGCCAGGGATAGCTCGGGGGAGAAGAACATACGATAGAACCGCGCTCCCATACTCGCCCTAGACACATCCTGTAACACCCACGCTCCCGGGCTGCTTGAGAGCAGCGTCTCAAGCACCTCGCACCATCCCACGCCGAGACCTGGGACTAGCTCCCTCTCTCACCCAGCTTGTAACCCCCTACTACAAGCACTTCGATGCAAGGAATATAAGACCGATCTCTCAGACTGGACGTAGGGCACCAATTGTCTGAACCAGTATAAACCTTGTATGTCTTTGCATCACCATCCGGGATTAGGGACACGCAGTTCACTTTTACTAGTTGGTTGAGGACCCCCTGGTCCGAAACACCGACATAAAGACAATCTAAATAAGAGAAGATAAGTTGAGAACCTTACTTGTGTCTTCTATTGTTAGGAGTCTGTCCATCACCTCTTTTTTGGTTGTGTAGTAGCCCAGCAAGTCTGGAGTTTCATCTCTTTAATTTTTAATATGTATTGCAGTAAAGCTTTTCTGTCTGTTGGACAGTTATGGCTGAGTAATAAGAAAGTGTGTTTTGAATATGTTTAGCTTTGCTGCCTTGTGGGGGGTTGTGAAAACTAAGAAATGTTATGTTTTTTCAGATCTTAAGGTGGAAGTATGTGAAGTCAGTGCTGCTGTGAATTGTGTGCTTGCTTCAAGGCTGGTTGGTGTTTTGCCTGACCAAGCGACAATAGTAGAACTCCCAAAAAGCTGCAAGAGTTGAAGCACTGGGCTCTCTGTCCATCAAGACTATATGGCTGAGCTCGGTAGAGAACAAGTGGCACCATTCTTGTACGAGAAGGCCAAGAACTGGAACAACTCTGACATTCCTGCTGACACAATCTTCTCTAGTAAGTGGCTGGACATGGCCAAGCTGGGTCTTGAGAACTCGGTGTGATAGTCATGGATTGTTTTTTGATGTTTGCTTGACTGGGATGCCTCAACATCCAAATGTGTAAACCGTTATGGGTCTTTAGTCTGCTAAGACGGGCCGTTTCCCTAAAACTCTAAAAAAATTGTACTTTTCAAAAAAATTCAAATGCATGATTAACCTGAACTGAGATTATTGACAGGCTAATCGCATAGCTTTCATTGTTATCTCTGTTCTGAATTTTAATGTTTATCACTATGAATATATAGAGCATGCACGAGAATTGAGTTCAATATTTAATTAAAAAGAGGTCATAGTAACAAACTGCCTCAGCAAGCTCCACAAAAAATATTGGATGATGGACACATATTCATACCTGAGAACAGTCTCGAGAGTGCATTGGATGAAAACATTACATATCAACCTGATCCACAACCATTTTCCTCAATTTCTGCCAACAGGAAAACTGGAAAAGCATGATACACATCAAAAAAGCTTTTATGATTTTTTTTAAAAAAAAGAACAGCTAAGAGTATATATCGCTAAAACAGACAGAGGTAACCATTAACCACATTTCGTGAAATAAAATGCCCAAAGGAAACAAATGCTAATATGGGCTGTATCAAAACAACTGAGGCAACATGAATACCATAAAAAATCACACTTACATAATTTCTTAGCAACACAAATATTTCAAAAAAAGAAACTAAAAGAAAAAAATGTAAATGCAAAGTAAAAAACTTGAGGATACAAAAGGTGAACAATTGATAAGAATTAAAAAGGATTAAATCAAAATCTTAAGATTTAATATTGCAATTTATTGCTTTCCCAGCATTTACTAAAGAACATGCCCACATCATTGCTTTCCCAGCATTTACTAAAGAACATGCCCACATCTTTGGACCAAGCTCAGTTCAAGTAAAGCAGTGACTCACAGTATTAATTTGCCCTAAGTGAACTCCTCTGCTTAGCATTCGTTGTTGACGCTTCTTTGCAACGAGTTCCTTCCTATGCTGCTTCTTTTCACCTGAATCACATAATAAGCTATGTTGACAACCTCAGCAAAGAGAAAATGCAAGCAAAATGAAAAGAAAGCAAGTCACTAGGAGACATTAGTATTACTATAATGGTACAGAAGACAATAAAGAAGGCAATTTATGAAACAATAAATCATCTCGAAGGAATGAGAAAAGGAACTGTCAAGTCCTCATGGCAGATGGCACGTTTGGTTTCAATGCCAGCCTTGCCTAACCTCGCTTGGACAGGCAGGCCTTGCCTAACCCAGCTTGGACAGGCGGGCCTTGTCTAACCTTGCTTGGATAGCAAGCCTTGCCCTTCCTATGGTGGCAGCTGATTCCACTTGCTTGCTTCAGCGAGGAAAAACTTGCTTGGTCGGGCCCCAGGGCAATGCAGCAAGGAAATGTGTATTTTGCTCTGACTTTTGGCTGAGCAAGGCTTGCCGATGGAACCAACGCACCCTCAAATCTTAACTTTAATAAGAACTTTTCAATCCATTGCATCTACATATAAATCAATAAATCACAAAGTGAAAAGCTCAGCTAATTTATTGTATCTACAGACATACTAGAATCACTATTGATGACCAATGTTCCACAAGTAAAGCGATACAGATTGTCTTCCATAACTTCTCCAAAAAAAGCAGCATGAGGAATTGTGTTCCAATTCCAAAACAACAAATCTCTCCATTTATAGCAATATCAAACTGCCAATGTCATCACTCTTCAACCGTGAGAAAGCAAGTGACCAACCGATGATAGTTTTATGAGATTTATTAGAAGATCCTAACTTTGGATTGACTGGGTACTAATATACTCTTATTCTCCAGTACACTGCATCTATGAATGCAAGCACAATGCATCTGGTAAGGTTTCTATCAGGTTAGCACATTATCCGAAACATCTAGATTCTCGTTTTCCAAATTTAACAAACTTATCACAGAAAGCAAAGGAAAACACAGAGCAAGAAATGAAGAACCTAATACCTGGCCTGCTCTGGTACTTTTTGCTCTTCCTACCCTCGTTAGGCCAGGACCGTGAGAGCTGAGAGGATGATGATCCTGTCTTCGACCCCTTCCTTGACCTGTTTGGCATCCAGACATTGTTCACCATGAACATATCCTCCAGGCCCATCACTTGCATGCTTGGCAAATCACCATTACAAACCATTCCTTTTCCCTTCCGCTTCTCAACTGAATTCGGCCTCTTCATGCCATACTGTTCGGATGCAGTCATTAGTGCATAACCCTCAAGCTTTCCTTCCCTTTCTTCACAAACCGATCATTATCATCATCGTCATCTGTATACATCTGCTCTACAGTATCTGCATCACCCAAATTCGTACCATTGATCCATTTACTGCTCAACAGCTAGTCACTCCCACCGATCCCATCCATGTAATCAGCAACAACCTCATTGTCAACTGAAGAAGAATCCCCGAAGATCAAACCTTCATCTGATTCCGACCCTGATGACTCGCCGGTAGACACCGAATCTCTCTCCTCGCCTTCACTACCTTCTTCGTCACTGTCGCCATCATCATTCTCAAATCTCTCCCCGTCACCTGATTTGGATTCTAAATCCTCATCAGAGCTGCTCATCCGATCCGATTCTGGCGATGAGATGTCCTCCGTGTAGATCCTGACTCCGCCAATCAACAAAAATCCCGGATTGGGCTTCACCTTCTGCTCCTGCTTCTGCTTGGGCGTGTTGAAGGAGACATCTTCCTCCGCCAGTTCCTTTAATTTGAGCTCCATCTCCTCGTGTCCTCCATCCCGGAATCCTAGCCCGAGATGCAGCTCTCTATCACCGGCCTCCTCCTCGTCCGCGCTCAGCCCAAGCCCGATCTCACCGAGCACGTCTGGGCCGTACGAGCACATAAAGACGGAAGCGGCTGGGTCGGCGCAGGGGGCGGTGTCGATGGTCACCTCCAGTGCCTGCGCCTGACCACGCTCCGAAAAAGCGGAGCAGGGGCGGAGGGAGGGATAGCTAAATGGTACGGCGTGGGAGGACTCGCCATCGGAGCAGGCGCCGCCGCGCCGTGCGCCCCGCCCTCCGCCGCGGCCGCCCGAGGCGGGGGAGGAGAAGGCGGCGGCGACAGAGGCGAGGGAGACGAAAGACGGGAGCTCGGGGACCGGGCGACGACGGCCTGAGCCGGCGCTGCGGTGGGGCCCGCCGGCGGTGGGGTTGCGTGCGTGGCGGCGCTTGCCGCCGGCCATTGGTTGGGTGGCTAGGGTTGCGATATGCTCTGAATTCGAGCGTCAGGGCTGACGCGAGCGGTTTATCGCATTTGTACCCACTGCCCAGGTCCCTAGGAGACGGTGCGGTAGCATTCGTAGCGGCCACGCCGCTTTTGGCTCAGGGCATGTTTAAATCCGGCGCTAAAATTTAGGGGTGTGATGAACATCGAGAGTTTACTATCTTAATTTGGTATCATATAATTTTAGCAAAACAAAAAAAATAGTCTCCAATAATTTGGCAAAATAACTTGACATCAATAACAACTTGACAAATCTTCCCTCCGCGCGCGCAAATATACGCGCGCGTATATGGCTTGGCATCCAGGACTCTTCGTTTCTTAGCGGGGCTCTTCGTTCGCTTAGCGGGCCTCTTCGTTTTGTTAACGGGTTTTTTTATTTTACCAAGTCAAAAATATCAAACTCTTGGAGATGGATTGTTTTTTTACTTGGCATATAATTTTGGGAGTTGGCAAATCACAAGATTTGCCAAGTAAAATTTGACAAACTCTTGGAGATGCTCTTAGGACGTTAGAGTATTTTTAAGAGTTCCCTAAATATTTCTCTAAAAATCTACGTTTGTCAACTCCTAAAAAGGTTTTAGGAGAAAAAAAAGAAGTCAATTTTCAATAATTCCTAATATTTGACTTTAAAAAATCAAATGCTATTCCCATTTGACGTTTTTTTCCTAGGGTCTTCCCTTTTTAGAATTTAAATCTACACAAAGAAGAGGATAAGCATGCTTGGTATGGTACTCGCTCTCCATGCGGTCGACGAGGCCGACGGTGTAGTTGGGGTCGCGGATGGAGCGGAGCACGTACTGGCGGCTGCGGCCGATCCCGCCGCCGCTGACGGACTCCTGCGGCACGATGCAGGCCTGCATCCTGGCCTCGGTGGCCACGTCCACCAGCTCCCCGCTGTTGTCACCGCCGGCGACGAGCTGCAGCTGCTACCCCTACGTGGAGGCAGAGCGGTGCACGCGCACCTCGACGGAGGTCTCCCCGCGCTTGTAGGCAGCGTGCAGGAGCTTCTACAACGCGACGCGGCCGCCCTTGAAGGGCGCGGCGTGCGATGCGGGCCCTCCCCGGCTGGCGACCCAGATGAGGAGCTCCTCCACAACGTCCCCCGTCTACACCGTCTCGCTGCTCCCGGGCCCCCACTCCTCGGCCCGCGACCCGCCCGCGACGCACTCGATCGCCACCACGCCTGCTTGGTCTCCGCGCGTGGCTTCGTCCGCGTAAAGTTACGCGGAAGGGGAAGGAATTTTCCAAGTCCTAAAATTTAGGAGTAAATATTATGAGTTATTGGAGAGAGTTTTTTTCTATCTTTCTAAAAAGAAAGATTAGGAGGATGTTTAGGGAACTATTGGAGATGCTCTTATATATGAGTGTTCAGATAATAATAATAAAATAAATTATAGAAATCATCGCTACTTCGCGAGACAAATTTATTAAACCTAATTAATCCGTCAGTATCATATATTTACTGTAGCTTTTCTGTAGCAGCATATTGTCAAATCATGGACTAATTAGGCTTAAAAATTTATCTCGTAAATTAGTCGCAATCTGTGCAATTAGTTATTTTTTAGTGTATATTTAATACTCCATGTATGTGTACAAATATCCGATGGGATAGGGACTAAATTTCAAGGAAGAAACTAAATAAGGCTTTAGGGGCTGTTCGGCTAATCAGTTTTCGGATGATTTTGGATGATTCAATAGTATTCTATAAGAGAGAATAAGCTGAAATAAGCTGAAAAAGGCTGAAACAAGTCCACACTTGATCAGCCGAACGGGCCCTAGGCCTTATTTAGTTTCTTCCTTGAAATTTGGGTTCGTCCTTGCAATTGCTCTGGGACAGCTAAACTTTTATTTCTCTACAACTAAAAAGATCACTTGTTATCGTCAGATTAGACTAATCGGACCACTTACCGCTAATTAACTCCCACCGCGCGAAGCCTCCCTGCAAAACCAAAAGTGTCGCGCCCCAGCCTTCCCCACGACCCCACGCCTCCCACGCTCGGACGCCGCACCCGCTCCGACACCAGCGCCAGCCACGGCCCTGCACGCCAGCACCGCACCCGCTTCGACGCCGCCGCCAGCCTCGACCCTGCACGCCGGCGCCCATAGAGTAAGGGTCGTTCCCACCCGTGCCGTCGTTGCAGCCTCATCCGCATGCCGCCGCCAGCCCCTGCACGCCGGCTCCAACACAGTCGGGGTCGTGCACGCCAGAGTTGCGGCGGCCTCTCCTGCGTCGCCCGACGCAGCCTCGTCCGCCCCAAGCGACAAGCCCACGATCCACCGCGGTCTCATCCGACATCGAGCCGGCATCCACGGCCACGACTAGCGTGCGGCTCCGACGTCCCTGCGCTGGCCGCCAAACATCCGCGCCCACGACACCCCTGCTGCTCGGCCGCTCGGCGCGCCACCCTAGTTCTGCGACGTTTCTTCACTCCACCGGTGAGCAGTCCGAACCCCAAACCCCCAGCCTTTCATTGGCGTAATTCCCTTTCAGTTCCCTACAATAAGTAGTTTCAGAGTCACTGTGGTTTCAGATTTTAGAATAGCATATTTGATGGCCAATTACACATGTGATGTGGAAAATTAGCAGTTTCAGAGTCACTGTGGTAATAAATCAGTAGTTTCAGAGTCGTTGTGGCCGATTTCACATTTGGCATAGATGGTCGGGATAAGAATGTATACAGATTTAGTGCTTTGCTGAACTCCATGTAAATTGTCTACAAATTTGCATTTGACTGTCGATTCTGCAGAATTGGGAACTACAAATTTGCTGCACTAATTTTCATCTGACTATCTACAACATGTCGCCAGTGGTGCACAGGTTGGGTGTCATCAGATCATCCCTGTTGACAAGTATGTTTAAGAGTTTTTTTAGTAGAACAACTAAAAATGCACGCACAAGGCTTGCACCGAATAATGGTTACTGTAAACACAAACAAGGATGCCAGGACACTGCAACTGCCTTCGTGCCTGTCATCTCTGAATCACAATCTCTCTGCAGCCACCTCAAAATTCTATATGCTAATTTCAGTATACTGTCATTCAGTTAACCTGTATCCCCTGGAGTCATCTATCTATAATGCAGCTAACCTGACCACCTAAGCTAATTAGCTAGCATCTCCTTCTCATGGGCTGCACTGCTGGCATGCTGCTACTTGCATCGAACTGCCATGCTGAGCCTCTGTGTTCTTGGCTTGCTACCGCTACATTCAAATTGGTGATTGATATCGATATGCTGCCCAACATCTCTGGAAGTTTATGTTGACGATGTAAACTTGAATTTATTCACGTCACTGAGCCAGTACAAACTGCCATTGCTCACCATCAGGGGCCATACTAAATGTCTTTGCACTTGTGCCACCGATTGCTTGTTTTGCACAAAAGTACGTATCACAGATTATCTTGGGACTTGCTTATCTTAGATGTACCCATCTTCTGAATTTCACCAGGTCCACACACATGCATACGACAGCTGTGTCTGCACTGAGCAAGCTTAAACAAATTTCTTCTATATCACCAAAAATGAGTTACTAGTCAGTGGATCTTGACTCTCCTTGCCAATTTACTTGCTGCAATGTACAGATCCTCCACCTATATACTAACTATATATATTTCCCTATTCTTCCTTCCTGCCATAGAACTCTTGATTGCCATGGAAGTTCAGGCCTTCTTTCTTGCTTAATGAATAACAAGCATGAACTAGCCCACACTGCTATTAGTGATCTGTTGATACTTGATACTGGTCATCTATGCACGTTCTGCATCTGCAAAGTTGCATCTACTACTCCCTCATTCTGTATCTGCGAATTTAGACTTGCTTGCTCAGTGCTCAAGTAAGTTTGGCAAATGAGGTATTGCAGATCTTAGTCCAGCACATGGATGAAGCTGGAAATTATTTTATTGGCAATATTTGTAGAGTAGAGTTGCACGCTTGTTTTGTTCTTAATAAATGGTTCATCCATTTTAAGTGAAATGTTGCAGAAACGATTTGGACGTATGTGCTCTGATAGCACACAATTTCTGGAAGGTTTGAGTTCAGATAGAACCTATCGAGAACCAAACACATTACTTATGTAATATAAACAAATTTTGATTGAGCTAAGACCAACTTCAAGAAATAGTAGTCAATTGATCTGCGCCTGTTTTTTTGACATCAATTGCTACTTCTTTTTTGCAATCAGGGACTGATAAGGATTCATTGATCTGCGCCTCTCCAGAACTATGAATCAAAATGTTGTAGTTTACTTGAATTTCTTATAAACCTTTCTTTGTTGCTGCATCCGCAAGGTGGTGCTGATGCTGCGTGATTTTGTGGTGGCACTGAAACCCGAGTATTAGCTTCATGATGTGCCGATGCTACCTGATTTTGCGATGGTATTGAAACCCAAGGAGGTCCAGCTTTATGCTGTGACAGTAGACGCTGCAAACTACTAAAGCCAGGCAGTAGGATGCGGCATGCTGCAGGAGATGTGTATAGCACTTCAATTCAATGAGCATCCTTCACATTTCTCAAGTGATATAGTAGTATTACTTCGGTGGCATAAGATTTGCTGTGTAACTTTGAAAGTGTCTAACTTCCTGTGTAACTTTTCGTCCCTAAAGATGTGTGCTTTTCAGCAAGGGAAAATATTTAGAAGCAGGTGTTCTTTTAGAATGCATCAAAATGTGTTGTTTTGCCAACAGCTTGCATGTAAGATGCCTGACAACATGTTTTCTTCAACGTCTATTTAGCTTAAAAAAACATGTTCAACAATATCTATCCATCAAACAAGATGCCTGAGAAGTGGAGAAGAAGCATATTGATACTAATCTACAAGAACAAGGGAGATATCCAAAGTTGCACTAATTATAGAGGAATTAAGTTGATGAGCCACACGATGAAGCTGAGGAAGAGAGTTATCGAGTATCGACTGCGAGGAACGACACGGGTATCTATGAACCAATTCGGTTTCATGCCTTGAA